AATTGAGGACTAGATAGTTAAAATTTTACAGTTTTCCATGTTACAAAATTCAGAAAAGAAACTTACATGAGAGATGTAAAGTTTATGGGATTGAGAAACATTAAAACTCTAAGTTGCACGCCTAACCTAAAAAAAATGTTTTAAGGTCTAAAAAGATATTTGTAGAATGGTAATACAAGTTATGACAAAAAATGGCTTAAGTACAAAACTTTGGACTAAGATAGGGTAGATAATGATGTATTTTCTCTAAATTTGCCAAATGCAAATGGATTGAATGTTATAAATGCAAATCTTACCTGATAATTGTTCTTATTGTATATAATTTTACCATGTTAGAGTTAAAACCTTTTCCTTTTTATTTATACATAAGGGGGAAATGTTTCGAGATGTTTGATTACACTGTGTAAAAATATGTCACTATGATCAGTTTAATAAAAAGCTAAATAAGGCTGGGCATTGGTGGCGCATGCCTTTAATCCCAGCACTGGGGAGGCAGAGGCAGGCGGACCTCTGTGAGTTTGAGCCTAGCTTGGTCTACAGAGTGAGTTCCAGGACAGTCTCCAAAACAATACAGAGAAACCCTGTCTCGAAAAACTAAAAATATAAAAAATAGAAAGCTAAATAGCTAATAGCTAGATAGGAAGTATGTCAGAGATTTCTAGATAGGAAGTATGTCAGAGATTTCTGGGCAAAGCAAGATCTGGGAAGGAGAAGGGAGGAGTCACCACCCAGACAGAGAGGAAACAGGAGTTGCAAGACGAAAGGTAACACCGTGTGATAAAATGTATATTAATATAAATTGGTTAATTTAAGTTATAAGAGCTAGTTAGGGACAAGTCTAAACTATAGGCTGAGCTTTCAGAATTAATAAGAGGTCTCAGTGTCATTATTTGTAAGCCGGTGGCCCAAAGAAAAGTCTGAGTACACTTATTTGCATGCCATAACTAGAGAGCAAAACTCTAGTGTTGAAGATGCCACATGCTTTGGTTGCAAGAAAGGCATGGAGAAACAAAGCTGGACTGAGCTAGAAGCTCACTCCTTCCCCACTGGATTGCATAGTGTTGGGGGTGCTTTGTGGACTGCTGGGGAAGAAATGGCATTGAGGGTCCTGCTTAGCTATAGACTTTGTATGCTACAGTACCAAAATACCAGGCAGCGTAGCACAACTACTATGGGTACAGCCAGAAGATTTCTGAATAGATATGAAGAACACTTAACAGGAGGACATTCATGTCTAGAACTATAAGTCAAGACTAAACCCTGTGGCTACAGAGGTTTTAGGCCCCAGTAGGAAGGCCACTACTGCTTTGTTAAATGGCTATGATGTGCCTATCAAACTGCCTTATAAATGTTTATACTTAAGACCAAAGGTCAATGTTGCTGTCAGTCACTATTGGACATTACAGTGGTTGGTGTACCACAGAGACTCATAAGCCCCCCATGGAAGCTCCTAAGAACAAGTGATTGTCACTGTGATATAGCAGTCCAGTGTCACATATATCACCTTCTGTAAAACTCGGGAAACATTATGGAAGAGAGAACCAAAAGAATTTAAAACCAGTTTTTGTAGCAATTTCCTCAGAGTTCAAATAGTCTATCCTGCCAAAGAAGCTTCTTATGGTTCAGGAGTCTAAGTTCGAACATTCTCTCCATGAAAGAACTTAAGAGAAAACTCAAGAGCCTCGTGAACAAACAGCTTAGGAGTCACAAGAAGTTTATGAAATGAACAAGACACACAGCCTGCCGCCCCTCCCCAAAAAGTTATAGACCCAATAAATAATATCTGGGTAACCAGAACCAGAAAGTTAAAATGGGCCATCATGGGAGGGGGGACAAAGGGGGCAAAGCAGGGTACAAATGAAGAAGCGAGGAGAATGGGTGGACTTTAATTGGGGAGGGGGAGAGGGATAAATATGGAAAAAGGAAATGGGTAGGGTGAAATAATAGCAAGGGTGTCTGAAAAGTCATAAAAAATTGTACTATTAACTACCTACTTAAAATAGCTTTGATACACATAAATATGCAGATGTAATTGAATTAAAATTTTCCTGTGTTGACAATTCTTCCTCCAAAGCTACAGACCACCTAACAAAAACCCCAACACCAGACATGAAAAGCCCACTTCTGAGCTGTTGTTCAGCATTGCTCAAGAGACTCCCAAAACACTACAGGCCATTGGTGTTGCCCTTGTGTGCACACACACCCCAGAGGTGGAGGTAAGTCACTATTGCTGAAGACACCCTGTGAGATGGTCTGAAAACAAATGGCCTCCGTAGGGAGTGGCTTTGTTGGAGTAGGTGTGGCCTTGTTGGAGGAAGTGTGTTCTGGTGGAAGCCCCACCCCAGCCCCTGGCATCCATATACCCAAAGAGTCTGGGATGTTCTGGTGGAAGTTCCACCTCAATCCCTCTTCCCCATCTCTATCTCTATCTCTAAACTCTATCTTATCCCAGAAAGGCCGCCAAACATGACTCCTTTCCCTGAGATGTTGAATACCACTCCCATGGGGTATTTAAAATACCCCCGAAAACAGACATGTGAGTTTTCGGTCTCTCTTCCCTGTCTCCTCTCTGGAGAGCATCGTCTGGGAGCATTTTACCCATTAAACCTTGGATTTTTATAATTCAGGTTGATTTGGTCTGTTATTTGGATTGCTGCATTGGCCAAGAGGCTTATCAGGGAGCAGAAACTTTTCAAAGTGTGTCACTGTGGGAGTGAACTTTTAAGTCTCCCATGCTCCAGCTACATTCATTGTGACACACAGTTGCTTCTGCTACCAGCTGATCAAGATGTAGAACCCTCAGCTCCTTCTCCAGCAGCATGTCTGCCTGCATGCCACCATGTCACCCACCATGATGATAATGAACTAAACCTCTGAACTGTAAGCCAGAACCAATTAAATGTTTGCTTTTATAAAGGTTGCCATGGTCTTGGTGTCTCTTTACAGCAATAGAAATTCTAAATGAGACACATGTACTTAAGATCTAGGACTCAGATGCACCCCCCCCGTTAGATCTGAACTGAAAGCCTCCACCCTTGCATGGTACAAGAAGACACCAAGCAAGCTTCCAAAGGAGGGAGACAACCAATAGTCCACCTAGTTATGATGTCCATGAACCATAACAGTGACTAGTATGGCTCAGTAACCCCAAAGGTGCAGTAATGGGATGCATACCTTGGCAATAGCAAACAGCTCCCTAACTGAGTTTACAACCCACCCAACAAGAGTGAAATCATGTCTGCCACTAGAAACCTAGCCAACTACCCAGGGCTAATGAAGTCGTGGATCTTAGAGACGAACCTACAGCTTCCACTTCACTAAAACAACATAATTCATAAGTCTACGTATTTGTTCTTATGCCAACAGATAAGTTTAGTCCTCTCCCCTCATCAAGGAAACTGCTCTTTGCAATAGACGGAGACCATTACAGAAAACATCCACAACCAATCAAAATGCAGAGTTGCAGAACCCAGTCCCAAACAACCCATCTACAATACAATTCTTGCGCCTAAGCCTCAGAAATCATTGTGGAAGAGAGGGCAGAAAGATTGTAAGAGTTGGGGGAACAGGAAGTTTGCTGTGAGATTGTGTGACAGGGCAAAATAAAGCAGAGGTTCCTCCATCTTGAGCATCTGCTGAGGCCATTTCAGATCTAACTAGAATTTCATATCTGTAATGAAGAATCTCACGGAATTCTACTCTACTCTACCCAGCTCTACTCTAGGAACCAGAGTTCAGGATGTCCTAACTAAGTTAGCTCCTGTTAGACTGCCTGTTTGTGCAGAACCCCCTCCAGCTAACTGCTTATCTTAGCTTCTGTTAAACTGCTTGCTTCTACAAAGCTCCCCAGCAGCTACAGAGCATAGGATTTTGTTCTTTGGGGTTTTGAGGGGAGGATTACCTTCAAAAACCCTGTGTTCTAGACACTTGGGGCTATACCTAGGTCCCCAAATATTTGGGTGTAGTCCTAGATGGCTGGAATAAAGACTTTCAATTTGCTATAAACTGTGTCTGAATGATTGTCTCTAGTGATCTACTCCTAAAAATTTTGTCTCCTAGAAATGTCAGAATCTACACTCATGAGATCTCATCAACATGGCTGTCCTAACATAAGCTAAACAAGGACAAGAACAACACCAATAGACATGCTAACATGGGCAGGGAAAATCTCATAGGGTCTCAACCGTATCCAAAGAACTACAGGCAACTAAGGAATGCTGAGCACAGCAATTGTTTATCCAATATCAAATGGTCAGCCTGAAGACATACATACACATAATGGTGTATAGGCCAAGTTGTTTGTATTTTTGTATTTAGGAATATATAAATTATATAATATGCATATATAACTTACAAAATGTATATACAGGAATATGTTATAATTATAACAATTAAAGAAAAAGAGACCATGACTTTGAGAGAGAGCAATGAAGGAGTGTGTGGGAGGATCTGGAGGGCAGAAAGGGATGGGAAAAATGAGTAACTATTAACTCAAAATCATTTTTTTAATCTTAAAAATAAAACAGTTGCTGGGAAACAAAAGAGGAGCCAGCACTACTTAGAAGAGTCTCGCTGCCCTATCAAGCTGGCCAGAAGTTGAGCAGAGAGCTCCCAGGTTGCTGTGTTTGTGAGATGTCGCTCGTGGTGAGGTTGGCTTCCAGTGATGCAGCCGCCTGTGAGTAATCTCCACTCTTTACCCATCCACCTAAGTAGCCCCGATAAACTCATTGGCTAGCCACTTTGAACTTCAGTGTGATTGTTATTTTGCTCTGTCATTGGTTCCCTGTCTTGGGTGAATAGACATTTGTGCTGCATATTTCAGGGGAAATCCCACCTAACTTAACAGAGAGGCTGTCAAGGAGAATGTGGCGGGATGCAGGGGCAGTAATGGGGGGGGACCTCATGGGAAAGGGTGGGTAGTAATTACACCCTACCTCCACTCTGACCCCTGACCTAGGGGATAGTTGCCAAGTCACCAGTGACATCACAATCACTTTATAGGCCTTCAGCCCCCCAGGCCAACGTCCATCTGCTTCCTACCTCTGCCCTTTATCATCCGAAGGACACATCCTGCCTCTGAGTCATCACACCAGCAGACCCAGGGATTAAGAGAAAGGAGGGACAGGCTCTCGTGCGGGGCGCAGCCAAGACATCAGCATGCCAGATGAATCAGACACCAAGGATCTGATGCCCACTGAGAGGAAGTCGTTCTGGAGGACAGCTGAGGAGAGGCGGATGTCTGACCTCACCCGGGTGCTGGAGTGGCTGGAGAGGAGGCAGGGCAAGAAAAAGCGTGCCCTCCAGGTGTGTACATTGGAAGAATTAGCTGGAAGACTTTACGCAAGATTATTAACAGAGAGAATTGGAATTCAGCACCACCAAACAAAAGGGGATCATTTTTTAAACACTGGGGTAAGCTAGTGGGGGGATGTCCTAGATTTGAGATCGCTCACCCTAAGCTGTCTGTGTTTCCCAATGGCAATTGACAAAGACAAGGTTACAATCTTTCCTGGTGGCCATATTTTAAGGGATGGCTCCAGGTCATTGAGAAAGATGCTTCCCTATAGGAAATGTAGGATGAGACTAACAGATTTCTGCTTCTGAGGGGGAGAGAAAGAGATTGACCCAATGCAAGTGTTCTGAAGTGACCACGAGTCTGTGATGAAGAAGAACTTTGTATGTCATTGGGTCAAACTGTGGTCATTGCTAGTGTCTGTCAATGTTGGAAACAGTCGTGGGCACTAGCTTATGGTGTCTTTGTGCAGGCAAATTAGGAGCCATCCCACTGTCCCCAGCCTCCTCCTCTCTCCTGAGGCTCCACGATAGATCATTCATTCCTACTGCCACTCCTGTAGCTAATCTTTACTGTCATCCACTGCTCCTAGCCAGGCTATAAGGCCGGAGCCATGATTACCCACAGCTGAAAAAAAGAAAGAAAAGAAAAAGGAAACTGAGATGAACAGAGGTCACAGCAGTGATGAAGGACGGAGCAGTATCTCACATTCAGATTTATCCCGTTCCACGGGCCTGAGCTTTGTGAGGCCAACTCTTCCCGGCTGCCTCCACTCCCACAGCTCCACAGCCCGCTTTCCCGCAGATGCTAGCCTGCTCACCTGCTGTCGCCTCTCCTCAGTCAGCCAGTGCTGAGCATTCCTCTCCAAATGGTCTGTGGTTGCCTGCTCCGCCCAGCATCTGGGGTAGAGGGCGGTGGGGGGCTGGCTGCTGCATCTCTTGGAATTCTGCATCCGTCTTGGGAGCTCTGTGTCACGGTTCATAGGTCCCTACCTCCTTTCAGAGAGATTATATTCTAGCACTTCAGAAGCTTTGCCTTACGTGTGGTTTCCTCTAAGTCACTTGAAACCTGGGGAGGAAACAAATTTAAACACAGATCTCCATCCATCACCATGTGCTGCAGAATCGTCTGGGTTCCTAAAGAAGAGTCACGGGTCTTTTGCAATAGGAGACCCTTGGGTCTAGGTTCCTCCCTCACGGAGTCCAGCCTGCAACACTGACTTTGCCCCTCATGAAGTGGTTTTCTGAGCACTGTGACAATGTGTGACAGAATCAACTGAAGGGAGGGAAGGTTTCTTTGGGCCATGGTTCCAGTGGCTTCAGGCCATGGTGATGGAGGAGGCAGTGGAGATGAGCAGTTCACATCATGGCAGCGGGAAGAAAAAGAGAGAAGACCCCTAGAGACAGATCCCCAGGGACCTACTCCTCCCATTGGGCCCTAACCCCTACTTTCTCCACATCTCTATGAGTTCATCCAGGGATAAATCTTGATTGGGTCATATCCCACAGGACCTCATTGTCTCTGGAAACTCCACAGACGCACACAGCTATGCGCTCTGCTATCCTCAGTGATTCTCAGAGCAGTCAAGTTGACAGTCCTGACTAATCAGTGAGAACCCTGTCCCACTGCTTATGATGCTGCCAGTACCATGGACTCCACTTGGACTGAAGAATCCTTGAGGTCCAGCGTTTTCTTGGTGCACAGGATGTTTATTAGTGTGGCTGCACATTGTTTGGGTCTAAGGCTTTATTTACCACATCACTTTCCCAGCATTCCCCCAAATGGGTTTTAGCAGGCTGTTCTGAGTGTCCTTGTGAGAGCACAGATTCCAGAGTGGAGTACAGCTTGGAAGAAATACCCTACCCCTTACTCCACCTGCAAACCTAGCCTGGGCCCAAACTCTGACTCCTTTTCCCACCAAGCAGAACAAAACCATGCTGGCACAAACCAGCTGCCCACCTCAGAAGGCAGCTTGATGACTCAATTCACGGCAGGACTACTCAATCATCAGCAGATTTCGGGGCCCATATAAAAAGCCAGGCACAATGGCTGCCTTAAATCTTAGCACTGGAGGTTGGAAACAAACAGATCCTGGGGGGTGTTGAGCTCCAAGCTCAGAGACTCTGTCTCAAAAATAAGGTTGAAAAGAAGTATTTAAGAAGGACAACTGGATGTAAATCTCTGCCTCCCACATGCACACCACACACACACACACACACACACACACACACACACACACACACACACACACACACACACGTCATTCTGGAGTGTTGACGAAGATACCAGGGATAGACGCTGGGGTGATCCAGAGGTCAAGAGACAGTGAACGGACAAGAATCTCTAGAATGTAGGTACTATGAGGTGGTTTCCCACATGCCAGGAATGTTCTCCTACTTAGGGATGGACCCCTTACAGTGTGGCTACAGAGCTCTTTCTCCTGCCTTTTCAGAAAAAGACCGAAGACACAAGCCATGCAGAAGAGAAGTCAGGAAAGAAAAGCTCGAATGCTAAGAAGAAGCCGGACAAAGATGCCCGCAGGGTGACCTTCAGCAAGGTAATCACCCCTCCACCTCTCCCCACAGCTGCTCCTCTGCTGTGGTGTCTTGCCGCATGAAGATCCCTCGATGGTTCTTTGCCCCATAATGATAGCCCAACAAATGAGTCTCCTGCACCCACCCCCACCCTGTACTGCTTAACCAAACAATTACTGCGTTCCTGGGGTCCAGTTTCAGGACAAGCATCTCACCTTCCCCCAACCACATCCCTCCACACTCAAGGATGTCAGGGCCTACAGAGCTACAGGGTACCCCAGACCCGCCTGCAGGCATGGGCTGCATGTACCCCTAGGAGCTAAGGCGAAATAGAAGTAAAGTCTCAGTAAGCCAGCAGAAAGGGCACTCCCGCCCCTCTAACTCTCCCTGGACCCAGGACAGCTCCTTGAGCCAATTGTGGAAATTACTCGGTTTGGGTTTTGAGAATGCTGAGCATAATTTCTTTCCTGGCTGCAAGATTCCAGATCCACATGCCAGCAAGAAGCTCCCCGGTGGTTTCCACAGGGGATACGGAGCAGACACAAGAGGCAAGCGTGTAAACGTGTCAAGCAACTTCATCAGGGACAGTTATAAGAAGTCAGGTAAGGAAAGAACCTGGGCCCTGGGGCACCAGAACTGTCCTCCCGTTCCATTTTCTCAGAGGCAGTGACCCATGTCAATTGAAGCTTGTGTCCTTGGGGAATCACTCTGAGGGTGGCATTTGACAATCTTGGAATGCCCTGGATGGGAGGGAGCAGTTGTTAAACTCCACTTATCTCCAAATATTCTCAGGAATCCATCACAGATCAGTATAGAACTACTTTGGACACTGCCTTCGTGAGTTCCAAATATCCTAAGTTAAACACTGTGACAATGTCTACTACGGAAGGAGCCATCCTGGTGGCCTTACATCTGCTGAGTAGTGTCCATCCCTAGACAGGCCTGAGTTTCCGTCCTGCTCCACCACGCAGCTGTGTCATTCCAGCCACGCCCCCAGATCTGGGGCTAGGTTTGTCACATATAAAAAGACTTTCTCTGTGGTCCGGCTGTGGGGCTGCAGCAATGGGAGGCCTGTAAATCAGTCTGACACAGAAGTGCTCAATAAGGTGATGCCGAAGGGTTGGAAAACAGATACGCTAAACTTTGGCTGTGCTTGGCCCTTGGAACACGAGCTTACAGCAAAAGTGGAATCTGGAAGGCATTCCTTCCTGACCATGTAGAAAGTGGGCAGGAGCTTGGAGCAGGAGTCACCCAGATGTCCCTTTGTGTCCCAAAACAAATACGTTTCCCATCTTTTCATTTAGTACACCAAAGCCGTGGTATGCAAACTGAAGCCTCTGGTCTGTTACAGTTCAGTACAACAGAGGACCTGTGGTGCTACGAGCATTAGGGAACTCTGAGTTGAACCCACAGCATCACATTAATGGGACATTCATCTTTCCAAAGAAGCCCTGCAGATTGTCAATAATAGATCCCTTGCTTTTGGTAAAGGCCATTGTGTTTATATGAGATAGGAGCATTCAAGAAAACTGAGTGAAGGCTATTAGAAGCCCTCTTCATTTTCTTTGAAGCTATCCTAATTGTTCTTATTATATAAAGTTATATAAATTCTTAATTATTCTAGAATTTTCATTTAAAAGTTACTATGGAAATAAAATAGAGATGGAAGCTCCGTACTTCAGCCATGTTATCGGTGACTCCCACTGCCACTGTCACCACCGTGCTGGCCCCACTGGGCTCGTGGACTTCCTTAGACCTTGCTTCCAGCAGAACTCCCTTCCCCCTGCTTCCTGACGCTTAGATGCACAGTAGCCTCGCTACTGACTCCTTCCCAGACTCCTCACAGGAAGCCTTTGTGTGTGAGCACACTTCACTGAAATGTTCGGGGTCAGCAGAGGCTAAGAATCACATCACAGAGGAACAGCGCACACAAATCAGGGGTTGGTCAGGAGACCCCACTTTCATTCTTCAGACTCCTTTGTCTCCTGACCCCCCAAAGATGTTCTTAGCTGCACTTGCCGGCAAGGAAAGCTTCCTGGGGTTTTCTGAAAGTTCCAGGCGGAGTGTAGAGTGAAGCAATTGGAGGCGTTGGCGTTCACCATTGATGGAGAGCAGAAGCCTGCTTACGGGTCCTCTGCCGTAGCTCTAGTCCTCGAAGCCTCTTCTTCCCCTCTTTGCTCCACCCGTGCCTCCTCCTCCGCACTCCCCACCCCTCTCATTGCCGCTGCCTTCTTACTTACTCTGATCTTAGTTTCTTCTGTCTCATCATGCAGTATGCTATCAACTCTGATCTGTTTCTTCTGTCTCATCATACAGTATGCTATCAACTCTGATCTTAGTTTCTTCTCATTCATGAAGGATGCTATCAAGACATTTCCCTAAACATAATCAGTCCCTCCCTAAAGGAGCCTCCTGGCAGTGGATAATTTCACCTCGGTGTACAAGATATAGACATGAAGGCTGGCTTGCAGGCAGTTTGATCCTCTGTTGTCCTTCTATTCTCTTCCTTGCCATCTGAGACAAATTTACTAGATCTGGGAATGGAGAAGTCTTGCTTCTTCTGATGTAAAACAACCCATAGATAGCCCCTGCAGGGCAGTGAATGGGCCTAGGCATCTAAGAAGTACCTTCACCTGCCTTCTTTTGGCATCCAGGACTAAGTCAGGCTGAGCTTAGCCACAGTGCGGACATCTTCCCCGTGCAGTCTTGCATGCTACCTCAGACAAGCAGGCACGATCTGGACCGGGAGATATGATGGTGATCAGGTGGCCTCAGAGTGGGCAAGGTGTCAGTTACAGGCCCAAATCCCATTGCTACTTCAAATTTCACCGGCTCAACAAGTTTCGTGTGCCTCCACCTCAGAGGACAGCGTAATAGCCCTAGCACAAAGAGACTCTCTGGGTGCCCTTCTCCTCCTTCAACCTTCATGGCCTGGTCCAGTGGCTTGGCTTTATGCCTTCATCTGTTTATCTTCCCTTCGTCTCCCCACTGTCGTCTGAGTCTGCCCTTGGTCTTCCCCTGAGCTATCCTCTTGCAGCTTTGGCTTCCATGGCTGCCACACTTACATTTTGTGTGTTTATGTTTAATATCATTTTCTTCATAACATCGCCACGGAAAATAATAAAACTCAAGTGATGGGGAACTTACCACAAAGGAATGGGGATCTATGAACTGATTGAAAAACAATTCAGAACAATTTTCTTAAAGCTTAATGAACTACAAGGCAACGATCATCAGAGAAGCTTCCTCCTTCAGTAAATGGGAGCTAATGCAGAGACCCACGATGGAACGACGTACAGAGAGCACCTTGGAACACACGATCCTACACGGGATGTCTCCATCAAATCGCTCTCCTCGGAGTCAAGGAACTATGTGGAAGAGGAGATGGAGAGGTTGTAAGAGCCAGTGAGAATGAAGGATACCAAGGAAACGAGGCCTTTTAGACACAGTAGGACTGATTGACAAACATGTGAACTCAGGAGACTGACACAGCACGCACCAGGGCCTGCACAAGTCCAAGCCAGAAGGACTACCAGCACCAGCCAAGAAGCTGTCTCCAATTGATAACCATTTGCAAAGGAAAAATAATTTTTCTCCAATGAAGTCTTACTGGGTATATAAACCACACTTAAGGGCAGGCCCCAGCAGTACATGGCCAACAAAAATTAACTCAGTGGTACTGTTGGAGGGTTTGGGTTTTTTGGTTTGGTTTGGTTTTGGGGGGTTTGTCTGGGAATATTTTACCTTACTGGTCTTTTGCTTGTATGTTATGGTTTCTAATTTTGTGCTTTTATGGATTCTTTTTGGTGGGTGGTTATGTGTCCCATGCTTTTTCTGTTTTGTTTTTTAAATTTTGAGGGTTTTTTTGTTGTTTTTCCTTTTTAATTTCTAAAGAGAGAAAGAAAAAGAGAGAGAAAGAAGGAGTTGGATGAGCGAGGAAGATCTGGGATGTGTCTGAGATGAGGCAGAAGAAATTGTGATCAGAATACTTTGTATGAAAAAATCTTCAATTGAAACAACAGGATACTAAGAAACAAAACAGGCAACAACATGGCATTAGGAAAAGCATGTTTGAATACAATGAGAAGTGAAGCAGAGAAACAGAACCACTTTTTAAAAAACAAAACTCTGGCCGGGCGGTGGTGGCCCACGCCTTTAATCCCAGCACTCGGGAGGCAGAGGCAGATGGATCTCTGTGAGTTCGAGGCCGGGCTGGACCGATAGCCTCCAAAACAGAGAAACCCTGTCTTGTAAAAAAACAAAAAAAAAAACAAAAAAAACAAAAAACAAAAACAAAACTCTGGGGCTGAAGCGATGGCTCAGTGGTTAAAAGCACTGACTGCTCTTTCAGAAGACCGAGGTTCAATTCCCAACACCCACGTGACAGCTCACAACTGTCTGTAACTCCAGTTCCAGGGGACCTGACATGCTTGCAAAACACCAATGCACATACAATAAAAATGTCTATTCAAAAAAATAACAAAAAATCTAAGGACTCGAGGAACCCACTGTCCGACAATATAGCATTTGAACAGTATAACCAATGAAATAGAATCCTCAATTCAAAGAAACTTTTTGTTTTTGGTTTTTACGAGACAGGGTTTCTCTGTATTGTCAAAGAAACTTTTTAAATCATCTAGTGAGAAGGACAAACAGAAGATTCAAGAAAATAAAATAACACATGCAACGTGGCTATCTGAAAAGGAGAAGAAAGACCAGAGAAAGATCATCTAAGAAAGAAATGAACTAAGCATGGTGGTGAGCACCTGAAATCCAGCACTCAGGAGGCAGAGGCAGGGTGCTCTCTATGAGTCTTAGGCCAGCCTGGTCTACACAGTGAGTTTCAGGCCAGCCAAGGCTACATAAAGACACCATCTCTCCAAACAAACAAACAAGAAATAAATGAATAAAAACATCCAAAATTCAGGGAGAGAAAAACATCTATACCAAGACACATTAAGTCCCAAATCTATGCCAAGAGTTTGACAGTAACAGAAAAGTAACGTTTCATGCACAGAGAGCTTCCATAAGACTGAATTTCTAAGTGCAAATGCTGTAGACCAGGACACAGGTAGAGGGCAACATATTCAAAATAATGAAAGAAGAAACAGCAGACACCCCAAAATACTATACCGGTGAGAGCCATAAATTAGAAATGGAAAAGATGCTGGGTGGTGGTGGTACACGCCTTTAATCACAGCACTTAGGAGGCAGAAGCAGGTGGATCTCTGAGTTCGAGGCCAGCCTGGTCTACAGAGCGAGCTCTAGGACGTCCAGGTTTACACAGAGAAGCTCTGTCTCAACAAAAAAGAAGAAGAAAAGAAAAAGAAATGGAAGAGACAACCAAACATGATAACACATGCCAGTAATCCCAGCACTCGGGCTGACCTCAGTCACAAGCTAAGGCCAGCCTGAACTACATGAAATCCTATCTCAGAGAACAGGGTTTGAGGGTAGTAGGTATTTTCACAAATGTACAAAATTTGAGAGAGTTCATCCAAATTACAACAAAAGGGTGCTTCTCAACAGAAATAAGAGGCTATGTATTAACAACATACTTACTAATGAATGTTAAAAAAAGAAAGAAAGAAAATCTCCCGGC